TGACTTCAGAGAGGAAGGGAGAGAGAGAAATATCAGTAATGAGAATCATTGATCATTTGCTTCCTGCACCCCCTCTACTGGGGATTGAGCCCAGTGACTGGGAATCTAACTGTGACCTCCTGGTTCATAGGTCGATGCTCAACTACTAAGCCAAGAAGGCCAGGCCATGGACACAAACAATAATGGAGTGAAGGTTATGAGTCAGGTGGGCAGTGAGTGGACAGAAGGGATCAATGCGGGAGAAAGGAGACATATGTAATACTTCAACAGTGAAGATTAAAAACACACACACACACACACACACACACACACACACACACACACAAAACACTAGTACAGAAGAAGAAATAATTACCTAGTATTGCAAACCTCAAACTGCCCTCTGTACAATGACTGCAACTATCATAATCTTCTAAAATGGTAAAATAATAAAATAATATTAAATCACTAATTTAATTATTTTATGAAATGCCAAAATAAAAAATATAAAGATGTTATTAATCACACAGAGTATGTAAGAACCAAAGGACTCAAAGTCCAGTCCATACTTTTTTTTTATATATTGTTGACACTATTACAAATGTCCCCTATTTTCTCCCCCACTTGCCCACCTTTACCCAGCGCCCACCACCCCTCCCCTAGCCATCACACTCTGTTGATTTGGCTACTCTCTTCATCTTATTTTATCTAGTCCTTCCCAATCCCATGCCCTCCGACCTCTGTCAGTCTATTCTTTGTATCCATGTCTCTGGTTCTATTTTGTTTGTCATTTTATTTTGTTCATTAGATTCCACATATAAGTGAGATCATATGATATTTGTCTTTCTCTGACTGGTTTATTGCGTTTAGTATAATAATCTCCATGCATCCATGCTGTTGCAAATGGTAAGAGTTCCTTCTTTTATACAGCTGCATAGTATTCCACTGTGTAGATGTACCACAGCTCTTTTGTCTACTCCTTAGCTGGTGGACACTTGGGCTGTTTCCAGATCTTGGCTATTATATGTAATGAACATAGGGATAGATATATTCTTTCTGATTTGTGTTTGAGGATTCTTAGGATATACCCCCAGAAGTGGGATTGCTGGGTCAAAGACAGTTCCATTTTACATTTTTTGAGGAAATTCCCTACCGTTTTTCACTGTGGCTGCACCAGTCTGCATTCTCACAAACAGTGTACTAGGGTTCCCTTTTCTCCACATCCTCGCCAGCACATGTTTGTTGGTTAATTTATGGTAGCAATTCTGGAAGGTATGAGGTGACTTCATTGTAGTTTTAATTTTAATTTTCATCTCTCTGGTGATTAGTGATGTTGAACATTTTTTCATATGTCTACTGGCCATCTGTATGGTTTTTCCCCCCTGATTTGTTTCACTTTATTTATACCTTCATTGATTCTTATATGTGCCCTGACTGGGACTTAAACCTGCATGTTGGAACGATGCTCTAGCCAACTGATCTACCTAGCCAGGTCTATACTCACACAGAGTATTGAACAATCACTGAGACCATTGGCTCAGTCCCAGCAGAATGCAGGGATGAATGAATCTGCAGGAACAGCTTTATCCAGAATTTAGATGATGTAACCAGGACCTGTGTGGGTTTTCTTTCTCTGTTTTTCATCTATGTTTTCTTATATTAGGTTCTATTCTCAAGGAAGGTCTCCCCTCCTAGAGGCACTAAGTCTGCCAACAATATTTAGGGATACATCATCTCTAATCTGTGTCTTTTGGAAACATACCAGTTATCCTGCAAGAAAGAAAAAAAAAAGATTCTCACTCACAAAAACCAATCCAAGGACCCCTCCCTTATTGCTCACTGTGAAATCATACACTGGACATTGTGACTATGGGAAATATTGCTTGATATGCATCATCATGGTCCCTACCCCGTAAGTGGGAATAGCATCAATCCCAACTATACATACCTAAACAGGTTTAATGAAAAATCCCCTTAATGAAGGTACTGTTGAGAAGGAAAGGAGGCCAATGAGTGATGGCAAGTCAACACTCAAATGCCCCTATACATCAGGAGAAAGCACCTTGTCTACTTTAAATTATTGTATCAATGCAGGGAAGAAGCTGAAAGCTGAAACCCAACCAAATTTTATTAGTTGTTTTGGCAAGACAGACTGGAAGGATGGATGGAAAGGGTGGAAAGGAGGAACAAAACAAGAAATGCTTTAGGGGGTGCCAGAGGACATGGATGTGGTGCATGAAGATGAGAGGATTTCAAATCTTGGTAAAAGAAAGAATGGAGAATAAACAGAAACCAGGCCAAGGAGAAGTCTATAAATGAATCACTTCAAGGACTCTGCACAGTTTGAGGCCTGGTTCCCAAGTCCAGAAATCATGGAGGGTGGGGAGGAGAGTATAAAACGCTCCAAGGGATGAATAGCCACATATTCTACTAATGAAGGGATATTCTCTGGACTGACTCTCCCTTCATTGAACAGGCTGAGAGTCTAACTTTGAAGGCTAAGAGCCCTATGTGGACGTTTTAGTCTCCTCTGTCATGTTAGGATGCTCATTGGGACCTGGAAGTGTGACACATAGAGCTTTTCATCTTCCGGAGTCTCTTAGGGAAATAAGAAGAAAAGCAGGAGTGAGTCCCTTCAGCAGGCAGTGGGGTCAGATGAGGAAGGGGTTGCATTTCTGCACAGAGGGCTCATGCCTCTCCCTTTCCCCCAGCCCCCTTAGAAAACCCCTGTCCATCAGACACACCATGTGTGTGTACATAGCTGTGTGACATATTATATATTTCTGTTCAAAATCCTTTCCTTTGGGAGTCATGCCCCCATCCCATGCATTTCTGGAAGTGTTGGTCCTTTCTTATTCAGCCCTAGGGGTGTGGCAGAGTGATCTAGAAAGTATGGCCATGTGACCTAAGCCATGAAACTCGGGTCTAGCCAATCAGAGTTCATCTTCCAGACCACAGGGACTGTTCAAGCCGTGGCACATACCAAGGTCAGTCAAACCCTCCCCCAACTCCTTGTCACAGCCATTAGTAAAAAGTCTTCTCTTCCTTTGGGACTATTGACTGTAAGGACAGTTCTAGCCAAGTCCCTATGGCCATCTTCTCTGACACATAAAGGTTACTTTCTGAAATAAGAGCCAGAGAAAGGCAACTCTAGAAAGAACAGAGAGAGAGTGAAAGCCTCGATGACATCATTAGAATGAGCAAGATGTACCTAAAACTGGAAGTCAGTTGTTTTTTTTTAATATATATAAATGAATACAGTAAGTCATTTTTGTTGTTGTTGTTGTTAATGTTAGTTTGAATTGAATGTGAATCCTAGGTGAAATAACCTCTCTAAACCCCAATTAGTGTTAGAACCATGTTTTTATAAAATAGACCACTTGGGCCACATGAAAATCCAGCAATGTGGCTGGGCACCTGTTTCATTGTCCCCAAGTTCTCTGTGGCACCTGGGAGCTGGGATGCTGAGAGTATCCAAGCTCTTTAGGGGTCAACACAGCCTAGCCCAGTGGGTGCCAACGAGCCTCTTCAGTAATCCCGCACCAATTGCTCTTTAAGGTAGAACATGCACAGACATATTGTTTCTTACACATTCTATGTATACATGCAGTCTGTGTTCAACATGTTGTGCATATTATTACCAAATGTAGAGCCACTGAGCTTCCTATGAGAAGAAGACTTAGTAATTGTTCTCATGGCAAACGAAGCTGACCAGTCAGGACTGAGTTTCCTGGATTTGGATGTCTGGGCACGTGCAGCAGATTGCTGCAATTGGCACGTGTGGAATCAGCTCATGCAGAGCCATGATAGCGGTAAAAACGTGTGAGGAACGTCTGAGCTTTCTGTGGGGCCCAGGGAGTTCAAGGCAGCATCACCCTCAGCTGCACTGGAGCCAGCAGCAACTGCAGGATGGGGGTGGGTTCCCGATGCCTGCACAGGGTCTTTGAGGGCGTCTACAAACCCCAAAAATGAATGGGGCTCCGGACTGAATTTCAGTTTCCTCATCTGTGAAATGAGGGTTGGGGCCTGACCACACTTACACCTGCAATCCCTTTTCTTCTCTTCTTTTATGTACAGAGGGAGCCAAAACAGGCAAATGCTTTGATTAGTGCTTAGAAATGACTGCTCTTTCCAAAACAGGAAGCCAGTTAACCGTACAGCTGGAGACAGCAGTGGCTTGGTATTAGCATAGAGGTAAGTCAAGTCACAGAATAGCTTCTAAGACCAAAAGTCTGTGACAAGCCATCGCTCGTTTCCAGGATGGAAATTCTAGCAGCTTCTAGAAAAATGGAAAGATACTATGTATTTAAGCAGCAATTGATCACAAATACAGAGTCAAAGGGACATTGCATTATAGCACAGTGCATTTCCTTTAACTGCTGACATTGATATGCTCCACATTATCCAATCGTATAGAGTGAGCACAATCCACATTTCATTATATTAAGTTTTGTTTGTTTGTTTTTTAATATATTTTATTTATTTATTTATTTTACAGAGAGGAAGGGAGGGAGATAAAGAGTTAGAATCATCGATCAGCTTTGCCTCTGCACACCCTCTACTGGTGATGTGCCCGCAACCAAGGTACATGCCATCAACCGGAATCGAACGTAGGACCTTTCAGTCCACAGGCTGACACTCTATCCACTGAGCAAAACTGATTTTGGCAAGTTTATTTTTATAGGAAAGAGTCAAATGTGAGACTATCGTAAGACTACATTTGGGGAATTTACAAACAGCCTTGGGGAGCTGGGCGGTGCTAATAACTAACGCTGAGCCCTGCGGACACGTGTGGTTGTGCCTAAGGACTCACTCCACAGGGCCCTCTCCCTACTCCTCTTTTCTGCTTGCTGTTCCGTCCTTCCACTCCTTGTGCCCACTGATTCGATCTCACATCTCTCCATTCCCCTCTACCGTCTTCCCGCTCCCTCTGTCTCTCCACCCCACCGTCAGCTCTCGTGTTTCCATTCCTGCGCTTCCTGTCCTCTCCTCCTCTTCCTCCCCTCTTCCCCTCCTGCTCTCTATTTCCTCTTCCCTCTGCCTTTCCCAGGAGCAGCCTGCCGTTGTGTCCCGGCTGCATTCCCTTGGTCCACATCCAGACATTTCTGCTCCTCTTTCTTGTCATTGTTCAAGCTGGTTCTGACAGAAAACGAGCTCCTGCTTGTGGCTTTCTTTTCATTGGAATGCTCCACCTTCAGCGCCACATGGCTCATCTGAACACAGTTTGCCAGACTCTTCATCTTGGCCTCGTTCAGGAAGAAGTCCCACTCCCAGGCCCTGTGATGCCTCAGAGAGGTCATCTGCTCTTTGAAGTTCCTCAGGTCCTGCTTTAAGGAGGGGGAGATCTTGAAGCAGAACGTGAGCTCCAAGTTGGAGGAGCTCTCCTTTTTGGAGATGTCCAACAGGAACTGCATGCTGAGGGTCACCGGCTCCCCCTCTGCCTGCGCCGGGTCGCCCAGCAGCCTGTTCACCTCCCGGAGGGACTCCTCCCCCCGCGGGCTCTGGTCCTCTCTCACCAGGTAGGACATGGCGTGGAAGAACTCCTGGAAGCTGATGTGGCGGAAGCTGTAGAACCTCTTGATGTCCAGCCCCTCCTGGTAGTCGTGGCTGCTCAGGAACGCAGCCAGGCTGGGCCCGTCCAGCCCGTGCTTCCTGAGGTCAGCTTCCTCGAACAGGAACCTCTGGTGCTGGATCCCCTCAGCTGCCAGGGAGCACAGGCCCCGCAGGACCCCATCTCGGGTGAGCTCGGAGGAGGCCCCGTCGCTGTCACAGGGCGGCAGGAAGGTGGACACGTAGGCCATGAAGATGTCGGTGCCGCTGCTGGGCGTCTCGGAGACCTCCCCGCCCCTCTCCATCCGGCCCTTCAGCCAGGAGCACACCACCCAGCAGAGGCCCGGCACCTGGCACGCTTGGTAGAGCACGTCGTTCCCACGGACGAAGTCCAAGGCCTTCTGGGCTTGCTCCCGGTCCGCGAAATAGGCCTGGACGTACCGCTCCCTCTCTGCCTCCGAGAAGCCCCGGACGTGCACGTGGCGCGGCTGCCTGAGCAGGGCCTGCAGGTTGCGCAGGGCCAGCGGCCGCGTGGTGATGAGCAGGGAGCAGGCGGGCAGGACCTCCCTCCGGATGAGCCGCTGCAGCAGATCCTGCGCGGGGCTGGGCCCGGGCCGCTGCAGCCCCCAGGCCACGGGCCTCTGCAGCTCGTCGTAGCCGTCCAGGATGAACAGCAGCCGCTCGGGCTGCCTCCGGATCTCCGCCACGGGCGCCCTGCCGTCCCCGCAGCACCACCGCAGGAGCTGGTCCAGCGTGGCCTCCGGCAGCAGGCCCACCTCCCTGCAGCCCACGTAGAAGACGTAGTCGAACCGGCCCCGGTACAGCGCGTCCGAAGCCCAGTCCAGCACTATCTTTCGTGCCAGCGTCGTCTTGCCGGTGCCGGCGGACCCCTGCAGCACCACCGTGGCTGCCGGGCCTGGGCCGGGCGTCTGGCCCTGATCAAACAGAGCCTCCACCGTGACGCGGTCAGGCTCCTGATCCGCCTCGGGGCTCCCCGGGCTGGCAGCGGCCACCAGCAGCAGCGGGGTGTAGCTGCGGCTCACTCCCTCCTCCTGCCACTCCTCCAGGCTGCGCACGTACTCCCGGTATGTGTCCCTGTAATCTGGGCCGGACACATGGGTGCGTTAGGGGCTGAGATGGGAACAGAACAAGACAGAAAGGCCCTGCGAACGCCGGGCCCTGCTCTCTACGCTCCCCTTCTATGCTCTATGACTTGTGTCTCCATGAAGGTTATACATCTGGCTTCATGGGGAGGGACTGCCTTACCTATGTACGTATGAGGGTGTGCGTGCACACGTGTGCACCTTCACGTATGTGGTGTTTGCATGCACATCCGTGTAAGTGTGCAGCACATGTTTTGTGTGTGCACATACATGTGTGCACATTCACATGTGTGTTTGCATGCACATCAGTGTAAGTGTGCAACAAGTGTTTAGTGTGTGTGCACGTGTGTGTACATTCATGCATGTGGTGTTTCCATGCACACCTGTGTGAGTGTGCAACACGTGTTTGCTGTGTGACTATGTGTGGGCAGCAGTGAACCCTTGTATCCATACGTGCTTATGGAAGCTTGTGTATTTTTGTGTAGGGAAGGCGTGTCAGCGGGCACCAGCAAGTATGTGTTTGTAAGAATGTGTGTACATGCAGAAGTCCATGTGCGTGGGGATGCGTGTGCCTCTGAAGTGGTGAGAAGAGAGGGGGCAAAGGGAAGGGGAGCTGCAGGATGGTGAAGCCACGGGAGGCTGTTCTAGGTGAAGGCCAGCCAGCGGCCGCAGATAAACCAGCTGCTGAGCGGGAGCGTGGCTCTGAGTCTATGGAAACTCCCACCTCTGGACACAGGTGCTCCTGGGCATGACAGGAGCCTGAGAAGGGAGCACGGGCATCACAGACACTCCCTGGTCCCCAGCATCGGGAGAAGGGGCAGGAGGCCACGGGGGCTCCACGCCCACCAACTCTGCGGGCACTGTCGCTCACCAGTTCCCTGGAAGAGCCGGGCACAGGGGCAGGCTGTCCTCTCTGGGAAGCAGCCTGGGCTGCCTGCGGGAGAGCAGCCGGGGAGAGGACTGACCCACTCGCAGACGCCGTTTCACTGGTTAGCGGGAAGCCCTTTGCCAACACCACCCCCAGGCTCCGAGCCCCTTTCTCCACACGCCCCCCTTCTCTGGCACCACACTGGAGAGAGTGGCTATAAGATCCCCTAATCTTTCTATAAATAAACCCCACCCTCAGCTCCCACCCTTCAGCCCATGGTCATGAGTCTTTAGCGGGAGATCACTAGGCCCACTAGGACTCTCAGACACAGGGGCTCCCAGGCATGGGCTCAGGGCAAGAGTGAAAGAAGAGCCCTGGATGGTTTGGCTCAATGGATAGAGCATCAGCCTGTGGACTGAAGGGTCCCGGGTTTGATTCCAGCCATAGGCACATGTCTGGGTTGCGGGCTCAATCCCCAGTGGGGGGGTGTACAGGAGGCAGCCATAACTAATATCTCTCTCTCTCTCTCTCTCCCTCTCTCTCTCTCTCTCTCTCTCTCTTCCTTCATCTCTGAAATCAATAAAAATATTTTTTTTAAAAGAAAAGAACTAAATTAGAAATGTTTTAGAAATGTCATGGGGGAGGGGGAGTCCAGTGCCTCCCTGACCTCCCCAGTCCCCTGCGGCACTCACCGTTTAGACAGATGTGGCTGAGCTGGTGCACGAGCTCTAACAGCTTCATGCCCTCCAGCACCTGGCACACCACTTTCACAGCGTCCCGCGCTCCGTGCATCAAAACCAGCCGAGAAGCCAGGTCCACGGGATTCAGGCCCTCCAGCTCCCCTCGGGGCAGCAGGGTTCTGTTCCGTAAGTGGTACTTTAATATCTTGAAGTCATTTTCGTCCAGGTCTCTCAAGGCCGAAAGCAATGCCTCCTGTGGGTTGTTGGCCAGGGCCAGGGCCATGGTACTTGGTGTGAAGGGTCAAGTGCAGACCTGTGACCTGGAGAAGTGGGGAGAGAAGAAAGGGGAGTGCACTGCTGAGAGAAGAGCAGCTGAAGGCGCCTCAGTCTGCCCCGCTTTCCGGGTGCTCAGCAAGCCACCGAGCACAGCCAAGGAGACAGAGAGACATGTCAAATTCCAAGAAAGACAGGGAAATTCCCTGCATGTCCCTCGTCATTGTCTGTGTGGCAAGAAGAAGTAAGGTGTGTGGGTGTGTGAATCTCTGACTCTCTCCTTCTCCTCTTCCTTCTCCCTCCCTCTCACACACAGTGTTTATCGGGCCCTGTATGCCTCCTTAGACAGTCAGGGTTAAGAAAACAATTATATTTTTCTGGGACTGCAGAGATATGGCAAAGAGATAAAACAAACAAAAACTATACTGCCCTGGATGGTTTGGCTTAATAGATAGAGCATTGGCCTGTGAACTGAAGGGTCCCAGGTTCAAGTCCAGTCAGGGGCACATACCTAGGTTTCAAGCTTGATTCCCAGTTGGGGGTGTGTAGGAGGCAGCCAATTAGTGATTCTCTCTCATCATTGATTTCTCTCTCTCTTTCTCTCTCTCTCCCATCCTCTCTGAAATCAATTAAAAAAAATTTTTTTTAAAGTACAAATAAAAACAAAAACTATACTCATTAACCTTACACATCAGCCTCATGGACTCAGTAACACAGGATTTCAAAGCAGGAAGTCTTGTTGTTTAGATAAGGAGACGAGTTTTAACCACGATAAAAAGAAATGGCCTCGTTGAGGGCCCACTTTGTGCTGCGTGTTTATCTTGGGGGTCCCTCCAGATGAGAAATTTTCAGAATTTTCTGGAGCTAGAACAGTGGGTATAGAGGGGAGATTTAAGTTCTGGCCCATGACCTGGGCAGATAAAGAGATGAAAACACAAAGACACAGTAGACAGGCACAGAAACCAGGGATTAAACTAACTGCCCCCGAACCTGGAGGGAGATGTAGAGATGAAAGGAGCAGAGAAAGGAGAGTGGGGTCCTGCATTGTATTTGACACAGAGAACTAAAAGGTGCAGGTCCTCGGAAGAAGAAAACCAACGATGGACAGAAAACTTTGGAAGTTCAGAATTACACCTGCGACTGAAAGCCAGTGGGGGAGCCATCTCCGTAGTGAAGTGTCTGAAAGTGAGCAAAAGGTATTTGGAAACCAGGAAAGTGGTCTAGCTTCAAAGATCAGCATTCTGAGTACATGCCAAAAGAAGAGAGGAAATTGCAGGAATCTGTTAGGATATGACTTTGGCTGCAAGTCACAGGGCCGTTTGGAAACGCAGGAGCAATTTGCAAGTAAGCCTCAGGTTCCCCTGCACATCTCTGCAGTGGGCAGCAGGAACGCACAGAAGACAGCGCGGGAGCCTGCCTGGGTGTGCCCTCCAGGCTGCTCAGTGGGTGGAGCCCGGGAGAGCGGGAGGTGAGCCCCGGACAGTGAGCTCCAAGCAAGGCCCTGGGAACGGACTGAAACAGATCCCCTTTGTGATCAGACAGCTTCCCAAGCCAGGCCTGGTCCACTAGCCAAGCTCACGAGCTCACTTCTGCTCGGTGAGGCTGGTATTAAAGGGCTGGGTGTGATACCAGGACACCTGTCCTATGAAACTCACCAGGCCCTGGTACCCAGGTGCAGAAAGACAAACACCTACACATTCCCGCTGACCTCACCAGCAGAGAACGTGCCCTCATTCTTCAGCATATTACAGTGGAGAAACAAGGCAGGGGCTGGAGGAAGCTTCTCTGACACCAACAGAAGAGGATGCCCCGTCTCCCTCTGAACCCCAGCCCTCCTCTGTAACATGACTCCAGGCCACGCTGGGGCAGTCTGATAGAGAAACAAAGGAATCGGGGTGCTGTCACCACCACCCCCTTGGCCGAAGCAACCTTTCTTTCCATTGTTGTTGGAGCCACTGGGTGACATGCTCACATCCACCGAAGTGAAAAAGGAGGAAGCCTGGAGTTTCGTGAAGCAGGAACCCAAACAAGGAGCAAAACCAAGGCCTGGAAGGCAGCTGGTCAGAGGGCCTGGGCAGCTGGTGGCCCAGGAAGCCCTGACCAAGCAGGGTGGGGTCCTGATAAATACTCTCCCAGAGGGAAAGGATGGATTGAGAGATTTACTGGTGCCACTGGCCTCCAAAAACATCCTACGGAGGGGCTACTAGAAGGTATGAGAAAAGCTAACCATAAATACCAAGAGGTTTACATAAAAGTGAAACAAGGAAACCACTATCTCTAGAAAACAAAAACAAACAAAAAAACAAAACAAAGGAAAGACAAAAAAGGAAGTCATATCTTTACATAATAGTAAGTTACAACACTCAGGTGTAAATAACATTTGCATGGAAATAACAACATGACCACTGAACACTGATCTAACTAAAACGTATACTATGATCACCCTGGAAGGGCAATCACGTCTAGTGGTCCCTGTATTCTCCAAAAATATGAGTAAGAGCATGCCCTAAGCATGAGAGGGCTAGGTAAGGAGGGGAGAAGCCAGGAGGTGACTGCTGGGAGCCTCTCTCCCGGGCACCTTTCCTCTGCCTCCAAGCTTCCCACGCCCATTGCTCCGGGGAGTTCTCTCAGAGTCCAGGAGAACAGGTAGGAATAGGAGCTGTTCTCTCCCAGAGTCCTTAACCAAGGTGAGGCTAGAGACAGAAACATTACAGCAAAGAGCCACGCCCAACAGACCACAATGGGAAAACAGAGTGAAACACAGCCTCATAGATCCTGTGACAGAAGAGAGGAGTGAGGCAACTTACTATGAAGGCTCTCAGGTCTGCCTTCCCTAGAAGGCTCCAGGCCTGGAGATCACTGGTCTGGTGACTGAGTAACACCTGAAGGAAGTAGAAATGAGATGCAAAAGAACCAATTTTAATTGGAGGGTGGAGGCAGGAAATGAAATGAGATCTCCCTCCCTATTAACCCTCGCCTGGCTGTGGGCAGAACTGACAACTGGTACAGTTGAAGCCCAAAAAGGGGAGGGATGGAGACAAAAGAGACAGAGACCAAAGGTGGAAACAGAAGAGATACAAAGAGGCACAGGAGAGAAATGAGCAGAAGAAACAGAAAGTCAAAGCAGACGAAACAGAGAGAAACAGATAAACTTAGCTGATGGGTATAGCTCTCTCTCTCTTCTTCTTCTTCTTCTCTCCCCATCCCTCCTTTCTTCCCTTCCTCTCTCTCATCCTACCTAATAAAAGGAGGGTAATATGCAAATTAACCATCACTTCATCACAAAGATGGCGGCATAGCCACAAGATGGCAGTGCTCAGTCCTCTTAGCCCCGCCAGAGTCCCCCAATCCTTGCGGCAACGAAGCAAGCATTCCACATCTGGCCTCGGATGGGCCTTTAGCCAGGCTGGGAGCAGAATGCTTGCATAAGAAGATAAGGAACAGGTGAGCTGAGCAGAATCGAGTGGCCCCCAACTCCCAGGCAAGGTCAAGTCGGGGCAGCCAGAGGGTGGAGGGGGTGAGAATAGCGTGACAGGAGGGACTGGTGGTGTAGGCACAGGGGTAAAAGCTGGCTGAGAAAGAGGAAGGAAGTCCTTCACGGAGTTCCTGAGAATAGGGAGGGAAGTTGTTTGCATTTCCCTGCCATGGATGGGCCTCTGGGCCGAGGAGAGCCTCTGGGCCGAGGAGAGCCTCTGGGCAGTGGTTGCAGAGGTCCCGCAGAGAGCTACTGGCGCACAGATTCGTGGGCAGGGAGGGCTACTAGTCATTCTATAAAGAGCTCAGCCTACCTGGATACCTCAGTCAGCCACTGAAAAGCCAACATCCTGGATGTGTGCACCCCCTTGTTCTGTCCAGTCAGTATCCCTGGGAAGGCCAACACCCTCTCTCCTCCTGCCCCTGAACTGTGTGGCTGGAGAAAATAGTAAAAGTTGACCAGATCCTTGAAGTCTCCGGGCTGCCCTGGGTCCTCCCATAATTGATCAATCAACGCCTTTGATAGCTAACTCTCTGCCCTTCCTCCATTGCCCCAAGGCTGAACCCCACCCTGGCATTGCCACTCTTCCTTCACCTTGCCTCCAGTTCCCCCAGAAAAACATCACTTGACTGGAGCTCCTACAACTTCCCTTCTCTCTCCAAAGTGTCTCCGATTTTCATCCTCCCCTTTCTCCTTTCTTGCCAAAGAGAAATACCTTTAGTTCTTGGTGATGAAGAGTCCACATCCAACTTAAGTCAGCGTGTGAGTAGGAGGTCCCAAAGGATGTGCATGGTCAGTTGGGGCAGCGACACCTCTTCCCCGGGGGCGGTTCTCTCCTCTGGACTTCTCGCTACGGAATGATCCCAGTGCACCTGCTGGGCTGAGGCAGGCCCCCTTCCAGAAACCCAAAAGGGAGGCCACAGCCTCTTCCTCATCCTGCCCAAGACCATTCTCTCCACTAGGCTTCTCCATTCCTGCCTTGTTTAATCACACAGCTCCCCTTACTCACGCTTGTATAGTCTATCTTTCTCTCTCCTCTAGACCCTGACCCTTACTTTAAAAAAAATACTTAAAGCTCTTCCAGCCTAAATTGTCCCCTCTTGATCCGGATGTTCCCCTAGCTACAGCCTTAAATGTCCGTTCTTCCCAGCACCTTCCTTGAGAGGGTAACCAACACTCACTGCCATCACTTCAGACTGACCCTTCGTTCACATCTGAATTCTGATTTCCATGTGCTCCTCCCCACACCCCAATTCCACTGACAGTGCTGAGTACTAGGGTTGCTGAAGATCCAGGTCATTGAATCCAATTCTACTCTAATAGACTGCATGCCTGTGTTTGGGGGAATTAAAAAAAATAATAATGTATGTCTACACAGAGCACTGACAGGAGAGCAGGGCTGTGTCGATGCTAATGATAGTGGGCAGCTCCAAGGAGAAGGCGTTCTTGGGCATAACAAGCCCAAACTCATTCGCCCAACTTGACAGCTGAATGCTGGGACCTGACCTAATTAAGGGAGATGATAGATTTCTTGA